CCGAAGAAGCTAAGGTTGCTTTTGATCGCTTCAAGAAAGCTCTGACTACGAGCCCACTTCTTAACCACCCAGACTTCTCCAAGCGTTTCTATGTCCAGTGTGACGCTTCAGACTTAGGCATTGGAGCGGTTCTTTTTCAGAAAGATGATTCTGAGGGAGAGCACCCAATAGCCTATTTCTCGTATAAGCTGACCCCAGAAAAGAAAAATTATTCAGTCACTGAACGTGAATGTTTGGCAGTTGTCTTGGCGATTAAGAAGTTTAGGGCCTATATAGAATTGATGCCATTTACGGTGATCACGGATCACAGCAGTCTTAAATGGCTTATGTCGCATCGAGATCTAACTGGTCGGTAGGCAGGGGAAGGAAAATGTAGTACCCGATACCCTATCGCGTTATGATATGGACGAAATCTCACTAAACGTATCTAAACTTGTAGATTTAAAGTCGGAAGCATTTCAGTCGGAAGATTACCTAAGCTTAATTGATACCCCAGCGGTAAAAATACACATTATGTACTCGCTTATCTAAGTGATATTTCGTGGCAATCAGTGTTGATGCTTTCAATTATTCTTCCACTTAGATTTAACATAAAAGTGTCCTAGGCTGCCTCATCGATGTGCTCTCGCTTAGAATGTAAGCCACAGTTTCAATAAGACAAATTAAAATTTCACTTACATAATGTGTGGAGTTCTAAGCGAAGTTAATAAGACGCCTATAAACGCTTGCAAATAAGAATGTAATGTATGTAGATTACAATCCTATTTGCATTTGTAAGTTAAAATACCATGTCTTCCGATTTTGTTATAGAAAAAATATATATTTTTTGCGTTTATTTCAAATTATGTAAGTTTATTTAAAAATTATCATCAAATAATAAACATGTATTATAGTTATGTCAATAAAAATATAATTAAACAATTTTAACGAAGATAAATGAAATGAATCTTAATTTTCTTTTGAAACTTTCGGACATCTTCCTTTACAGATCCTGTAAACAAACAAGAGGATATTGTCAGTATTAAAACTAGAAAGTATGAAGTAAATTTACCCCAATTTTTGAATCCCTTTGTGCCATTTAGATCACCACAATTATTTTAAATTTTTACAATAAAATAACTTTTTTTAAGAAAACACAACTTCACTTACAAAAGATCAACTTTAAACTGAAACAAAAATATTATTCTTTTCATGCAGTACCTATACATACAAAAGAAAAATAAAATGGTACTTTAGTTCTGTTTTTTTGTAAAGATATAAAAACAAAAAACAACATGAAAAAGGCAGCTAACTCTCTGCTTAAATCGTAATCTATGTTATAATTAAAGTGCATGATATGTTGGATTACGCATACATTGCACTCTAAGTACTTAGATTGCTCGCTTAGAACGTCATACTGATGTCATCGAATATTATCTAAGTACTTTGTTTCATTTACCGTTGGGACGGTCGAGAAGAATTCGGAGCAATTACCCGATTTGAAAGTGGTCGACGGTTTTGTCTACAAACGGACCAGGCATTATGACGGTGTAGCCATTAGTGAAGATTTCGCGTGGAAGTTGTGGGTACCTTCAGAGTTAACCCAAAATATAATTAATGAGTGTCATAATTCCCCACAAGCTTCGCATGGAGGAGTGGGTAAAACCATAAGTCGCGTCAAGGAATATTTCTATTGGCCAAATCAAAATGTTCAGACAAGAAATTTTGTGTTAAACTGCCAAATTTATAAAGAATCGAAACCCGCGAATTCTACGCTCAGACCACCAATGGGTTCCGAAGTACAGTCAGAACGACCTTTCCAACGCATTTTTATAGACTTTCTTGGTCCGTACCCACGGTCGAAAAACGGAAACGTTTATATTTTTATCGTTTTAGATCATTTAACTAAGTTTGTTTTTTTGAAGGCCTTGCCTAAAGCCAGCACCAAGAATTTTGTAAAGTTTCTAATTGTTGAGGTTTTCCATAAATTTGGAACACCAGAAACTATCGTTTCTGATAATGGAAAACAATTTGTTAGCAAAGAGTTTGCCGACATGATTAGTAGTTTTGGGGTTAAACGGACTGCAACCCACTCACCGCAAGCTAATGCGTCCGAGCGCGTCAATCAGTCCATTTTAGCCGCCGTAAGGTCGTATCTGCAGGAAGACCATACAGAATGGGACAAGCATTTGTCCGAAATTGAGTTTTCCTTAAGGTCTTCCTTGCAGTCGTCCATCGGAGTTACGCCATATTTTGCCTTATTCGGAATGAATATGATTGGCCATGGCAGCGTTTATCAGTTGGCGCGTAAGCTCAAAGTACTAAATGATCCCGAAATGAATATCATCCCGAACGCGGTTAGAATGGATCTGATACGTCGGAAAATTCGCGAAAATCTGCATAAGGCCTACACTCGTAACAAAAAATCTTATAATACGCGGTGTCGACAAGTTAAATTTGTTCCCGGTCAGGAAGTCTACCGACGTAACTTCCAAATTCGCCCGAAAATTTCTAAAATGCCGAATCGTCCGACCAGTCGGAAACAGTTTGTACGAGGTCGAGGATATTCAGGGGAAATCGTTAGGGGTTTTTCACGCCAAAGATTTGAAGCAATAGCTTCAATAACTTTGGTGATTCTAGTCCTAACATTTCTTCCTGAATATCTACCGGTTGACAGCGTCTAGTAGTCGTCCAATTTGTACCTAATGGTGTACCTATCTTTAAGTCTGTATTGTCGAGTCTTTATATTAATCTTAGTCTTTTCTTTATTGGCAGGGAATTTCTGTTTGGCATAGCTGTTGATATATCCTAAGCAGTACTGAGTTCTGTACATATCTTTCGTTTATATCGTAGTCCAGTGAGATCCATAGCTACTTTGGAATGAGTAATTATTTGTTGGATCGACTTAAAGCCAACGTTTCTTAGCTGGTTACATGTGTAACCGGTCATTACCCTATTAGTAGGTGCAACCCCATCAAAACCTTCTGGTACCGTGCCATCAAAAGCGTAAGGGTTATTAGTCACCTAGGGTAATAACACAATTCTGAGTCCGATCTTACAGCGAGCCGATACCAAAGTAAACAATTGGGACAATACAAGTTGGAAGATCAACATGTAGTTGTTCACTCCGTAAGCAGATTGTCACTGGCTGGGAAATAAATGATCGATAGTACAGATACGTCAGTTTTGGTTGGGATATAGTCCGTAACTATGCTAAACACAATTCTTTTGAGTTCAGTGGCAATAACAAGGAGTTTAGGACCTTGTTTCATAATTTTCTAAACTTTGTCTTGTTATACCACCGAAGTCTGCACTAACATTGGAAATGAATGATATATCTAGTATACATACAGTATTGTTCGAAACCTAAGCAACTTTTTTTGGCATTGTATACAAAGTGCTATATTTTCTATTTTAATTGATTTATTCAAAATTATATAATTGATAATAATAACATTATGTGTCTACATTATAATAACAACAACAAAAGTTTATTTCCATTTCGCTGTGAGTTACAAGAAAATAATAACTGAATTAACTCCATAAATAGCTGTTCGAAACTTAAGCAACTTTTTGATCTTCTTATGAAAATCTTTGGTCCTTTTGAGTTCCAAACACCTTTATGGAATAGATTAGTTACTAGTGTAGTTCGTAATGAATCCCAAGCGGATCTTAAGCCATTCGCAAGCGGCTATGTTTTCTAAAACTGCGAGTTTCGACCCAGAGCTTCAGAATGCTATCAGCATCTCTAAGGGACTTGAGTCAGGAGATTTTGATGGACAATCAAATAATTTGGGTCCTATTACCCAATAACAACTCTTAGATCAACTTTGCCAAAGGTTTTGGTTCATTATCATGCTGAAAATCGCAATAAAGTAAGTTGTTCTGTTCAATGTACTTAATCCTATGGTTCATTTTGTTGGCCAAAAATGTCCCAGAAAGTAAAACAATACAATTTTATTTGTATTTCAACATCAGGACTTACTCTACTCACTAAAAATCTTGCCCACAATCTTAATTGTTTGACCTTCATGCTTTTTTAAGTCTTTAATGTACGATAATGTAACCGCATATGAATCCCGCAGTGACATGGCACAGAGTTTATTTAAAGAAATTCGATTTTTTCAAAAATGTTGTACAATTTTGGGTAGAATATTGAAATAGATTACGCAAGACTAATAAAAACAGTTTTATTTACAAACGGGTCCACATTTTCCTTTCCTAAATTCAAAAAGAGTATGCGAGGCCCAAAGGCTGAAGGAAATATTACAATATACCCTTTTAGTAAAGGCCCAATAATGAATGGAGTGCAAAAATTTAAGGCTGTGGCCACGTTTTTTGAAGAGAAGGGTTAGTCCTGATGTTGAAACACAAACAAAGTTGGATTGTTTTTCCTTTTGGGGCGTTTTTCTCCAACAAAATGAATCATACGATTGAGTACACCGAACAGAACAACTTACTTTATTGCGATTTTCAGCATGATAATGAACCAAAACCTTTGGCAAAGTTGATCTAAGAGTTGTTATTGGGTAATAGGACCCAAATTATTTGATTGTCCATCAAAATCTCCTGACTCAAGTCCCTTAGAGATGCTGATAGCATTCTGAAGCTCTGGGTCGAAACTCGCAGTTTTAGAAAACATAGCCGCTTGCGAATGGCTTAAGATCCGCTTGGGATTCATTACGAACTACACTAGTAACTAATCTATTCCATAAAGGTGTTTGGAACTCAAAAGGACCAAAGATTTTCATAAGAAGATCAAAAAGTTGCTTAAGTTTCGAACAGCTATTTATGGAGTTAATTCAGTTATTATTTTCTTGTAACTCACAGCGAAATGGAAATAAACTTTTGTTGTTGTTATTATAATGTAGACACATAATGTTATTATTATCAATTATATAATTTTGAATAAATCAATTAATATAGAAAATATAGCACTTTGTATACAATGCCAAAAAAAGTTGCTTAGGTTTCGAACAATACTGTATATAACAAATATTTTTTGTTTACTTTACACTCACTCGGATTTTCTGCTTCACCATCTCAATTTGCCTCTCATGATCTTGTTGTTGTAATCTGAAATAAAAACGAAAGACTTTAGTATAGGTTCAAATAAGTAATTAGAATTTTAGTTATTTCATTACAAATAGTTGCCAATTCCCATGGATTTCACCGATGTTGGCATCTCAGTTGTGTTTTAGTCCCTTCGGTTCGTCCTTCTCAAGGGCACTTGAATTCCAAGAACCTGTAGGGAAAAGAAACATTAGTTTTTGTATTATTTAAAGTAATAATAAAATTTTCTAAAAGAATTATATTTATGAATTACTTTATAAAATTTCTGTTAGGATTTTCTTTTAGAAAGTTTTATTTTCAAACAACCCTAGGGTTGAACTAATAGCTTGTTTTTTTTGTTAGGTGAAAAGGTCAAGGGGCACTTCTCGCCAAAGGATTTTGGTGGTTTTGGTCCTTGTCATTTTCACCTATCTTTATCAGAAGACTTACCTGAGTCATCATTAAGGTCCAGGTCTTTCATTTCCGTTTTCCCAAAGGTTGGATGGATAATCTGTAAAAGGAAGCATTAGTAATTTAGTTTTTATTATTGAATGTAATTACAAGGGGTATTTCCCGCCAAAGTCTCTAGAGTTTACTCTATGAGCTTTGGTGGACTTAGTCCTTGTATTACAAGGAATAGGATGTAACACTGTAATTAATATAATATTTTTTTTTACCTTACGATTCCTTAAAGGAAGCAAAGGCCTGTTGGAAGTTTAAGGTCCTTTTGAATTTTAATCTGAAAATATAGTAAATTAAAATAGAATTAGTAAAATTATAAAAAAAGGAATCACAAAAAAAATATGAAAAGAATTAAATAAAAATCTAAAAAAATAAATTTAGAAAAAAAACATAGAAACTTTTATAAAAAAATGGAAAAAAAGAAAATGTTTGTAAAAGAATTGGAAAAAATAAACTGAAATAATTTTTTTATTTGTAAATATTTTCAAAATTTTTCATTAAATTTTTTTTTTTAAATTTAAGTTTTTTACTGTCACTAAAATTTCACTGAAACTTTTATCTGCCACTGTATTTTCCAAAAGTTAGTTTCATTTTTCAAATCCACACTATATTTCATTTCACAACACACTAGGAATTGTTAACTTAACACCATGGAATAATTTTTTGATTTTGTCACACCACTTTTGTCACACACTGTATTAATTTTTTTATTTTCCACCGGCTTAATTTTTTTTAGTCACTTCAGTTTTCAGCATCACTTTATTTTATTTACTTTTATTTTTTTTAACACCGTACACTTTTGCTAGTCACTGTAATTTCCATTTAATTTTTTTTCGTTTGGCACCGTAAATTTTTCATTTGCACAATAATTTATTTTTATTCTCACTTTAATTTTATTTCCACTTTATAATTTTTTATACCACTTTTGTTTCACACTGTAAATTCCACTTTTGATTTTTATATACAGCCTTAATAGCAATAGTTTAAATTTATTTTTGTTAATAGTATACTTTTTCAATTTTTAACACTTTAATTTTCGTCACAACATGTTTGGTCCGCACTGTAATTTCTTAAAAATTTCTTATATTTAATTTTTTTTATCGACCGGCAAATATTTTTTTCACTTTAATTTATTATTTTTTTTTTACATTCTGATTGTCCGTCCGCGTACTTTTGGCACTCACTGTATTTTCTAATTTTTATTTTTTTTAATCCCTAACAACACTTTACATTCACTTTAAAACACTTTCATTTTAATTAATAAAATTTTTTGTACACACACTTTTTACACTCACTGTAATTTCCAAAATTCCTAACAGCACATTTATCTTAATCAATACACCTTTAATTAAAATCTACACACTTAAAATTCATTTTCACTTACCTTATTGTTGTCCAACATGAAAAATTACTCCACACACGCAATTGATAACGGTAGCCACATTCCTGAAAGAAAAAAACAAACAAAAAAAAATGCATTACAATTTTGACCTTCAATGAATTAAATAAATTTTTACTTACCATAATTCCACCAAAATGGAATTATGGTTGACCACCGCCATTGAAAAATATTGATAAATGCGTATTTTTGGCATTCTCTCTCCTTCCCTTCCAATTCATTCAAACAGCTGGTAGTAAATGCAGAGTCCGTCGGCGCGTGAGTAATTTTTGACGGCGACACAGAGTCGCACTTTTGTTCATGACTGAGTAAGGGTTGCCATAGCGATTTTTTTGTTGGGTATAGAAAAATACCCACGGTCCCTAATGGCCAAAATGTCGGTCCTTTTTATTTCTTTTGACTAATGAAGAAGGTGGAGCCCGTGGCCATCGACTACGTGATAAAAAAAAAACTGTTTGTTTTATTGTTAAACTATTTAATTTTTATTAAAGAAAAAAAAAAACAATTGAATGCATTTTTAAAACTAAAAGTTTAAAACTACATTAAAGTAAACTTTAAATCTGAATCAAAGAAAACTTAAAACTAAATAAAATTCAAATTAAAATAAGCAACACTAAGCCACGCCATCGCCAGCTCCACTCAACGGGGGACTTTCTTTGGCAGATTAGCACCAACAATCCGGTGGTGCTTCAGGTACCAGGTTTTCGACCAGGAAAATTTACTTTTACCTCGTACGACAGGACGAACTAGACTATTTAATTCCTTTTAGGTAATTTCTATATAAAAAAGGTTAAAAAAAAACAGATATTAGTTTACACTTTAAATATATATATATATTTAGGTATGAATTAATGAAATAAAAAAAAACGTAAACAGAAATGGATTAAAAAAAAAATAAATAAATAAAAAAAAAATATATAATAAATTATAAATTATTTAAAAGGTTTTTTTTTTAAGTTTTTATAATATTTTACTTACTAAAACACCGAACGAGGACAGATAACGGACGGACTGAAAACCTACGCTACCCTTCTTCCAAATGAATGTTATGTAAACACCCGATAGTCCAGATCTCAAATATGGAGAGCTGCTAAGTTTACAAGGTAAGTGATTGGGGTGAAATTATTGTGAGTGGGTAGGGATAGTTAGGGGCAGCTAAAATGACTAGGTTGCTACGGTTGTAGGTTCAGACCTCTGGGAGGGAAACAACATATTGGCCTCTTGGCCTGGAAAGGAATAATTTAGATAAATGTTTTGGTGTATTCGTCTTATGAATGTTTGCTCACTTCGGGTCCCTTTTCAATTTAAATACTTTTCTTTTTTAAACTTAAAAGTAAAGCTGGTATTGTATAGAGTTTTTGTACCCAGGAAAAGTTGCAGTGTCGGCAAGAACCACCCCATCCGGCGAGCCTCAGCCCGGCGTAAGCCATAATATCAGCGCCGCCGACATTTGGCAACACCGACCCGCATCAGATGTTTCGGCATTTGTTTTGCTATCAATTTTCATAATCCTGGTCAGTACAAATGTAAACGTATTTGAAATATTAATTTTTTATATGATCTTTATCTTTATCTTGGCCTGGAAAGGAATAATTTAGATAAATGTTTTGGTGTATTCGTCTTATGAATGTTTGCTCACTTCGGGTCCCTTTTCAATTTAAATACTTTTCTTTTTTAAACTTAAAAGTAAAGCTGGTATTGTATAGAGTTTTTGTACCCAGGAAAAGTTGCAGTGTCGGCAAGAACCACCCCATCCGGCGAGCCTCAGCCCGGCGTAAGCCATAATACCAGCGCCGCCGACATTTGGCAACACCGACCCGCATCAGATGTTTCGGCATTTGTTTTGCTATTAATTTTCATAATCCTGGTCAGTACAAATGTAAACGTATTTGAAATATTAATTTTTTATATGATCTTTATGTTACGTTCTGTTAGATTCTGTTAATACCGTACTCTTGTTATTTTCTTTCACTATTTCCTCTTTATATCTTGGTGACAATTTAGATCCTAATCTTTTATTAATTTTTATATAAATTTTCTGACCTGGGATATAGTCTTTAAAAGGTTTTCGTTTTTTGTTATGATTTTCAATGTCTTTTGCTTGTTTCTTGACTATGGCTTCTATATTCTCCTTTCTTGCGTTTTCATATTGTTCTGGACTAGTATTAACTCTTCTTCCAAAGAATAATTCTATGGGTTTTTTTGCCTGTTGTTGAGTGTATGGTGCAATTATATTCATAAACCGCTCTGTCTAGTAATTCTTCAAAGGTCCTATGTGTCTTTTCTGTTTTAAGACAACGGATAATTTCTGACAATGTGGAATTAAATCGTTCCACTTGGCCATTGACGGTACTTTTGTAGGGAGGAGTCTTGAAAACTTTTATGTTCAGCTGATCTTCAAGCATAAATAAAATTGAATCTGAATTTAAAGATTTTTCGTTATCTACAACTACCATTCTGGGGACACCAAAACCAAATAATATTTTCCTTAATGGTTCTCTAATATCTGCTATTGACCTAGAATTTATAACTGTTGCTTGTGCGTATTTTGTAAGCTTGTCTATTGCAGTTAGTTAGTTAGTTTGAAAGGATATATACATCAAATCCGAAGAAATACACCTAGGCCTCTGTCGGGCCTGTTGTGCGCTCCTTAACCAGTGCCTCAGGTGGGAATCGAACCCACCACCTCCGGTCTACCAGACTTGAACACTAACCACTAACCTACCGGAGGCCACAATGTCTATTGCAGTTAATGTTAAATGTTTTTCAGTGGACCAAATGTCTACATGTATTATTTCTCCTGCATATTGTGGGATTGGAGTAGGTGATATATTTGACTTATTAGGGTGTCTATCGTATTTTCCTTCTTTACAAACTTTACATTGTTTTATTATTTTATTAAGTTTGTCACTCATCTTTGGAAAGTAATATTTTTCTAATAGTTGCAACTTATTCTCTTTAGCATTTCTGTGAGCTCTTTTATGCACTTTCAGGGATTCTTCTTCCTGTCTAGAGGAGTCAACCAAATCTTCTACTTGTGTTTGTGTGTATCTGATTTTATATTTCGAAAAGTGAAGGGGGTATATTGATTGTATCTTACCCATTATGCTTTCGCAAGTAAACAAACCATTCACTACACTTGGATTAAGATACCTCTTCAGAATATCCAAAAAGGAATCTTCTGAAAAGCTTGGGGCTGTAATAATATGCCTATGAAAAGTTGGGAAAGGTAACTTAAATTGGTATTCAGTCGTTTCTCCTATAAGGATAAAAATCTGATTTTTAAAGACGTTAATAGGACATTCAACTAAAGGAATCAGATTCTCTCCAGAACTATCATCGCTGTGTACTGTAGCCGTTAAAGAGTTAACATGAGTATCGCTTTGTGGTGGTCTAGAAAGAGCATCTGCAACTACATTACTTTTGCCGGGCTTATAATGGAGTTCATAGTTATATTCCTCCAATATTGCTTTCCAACGCTTCATTTTTGCATTATTATTTTTGTTACTTAAAGCGTATGTAAGAGGTTGGTGGTCAGTAAATATTATGACCTTGGCGTGGCCATACAGATAATTTCGCAAGGAATCAAGTGCCCAAATTATGGCTAGCATTTCTCTCTCGTTGACTGCATAGTTCTCTTCTGTTTTATTCAGAGATCGAGAGATAAACGTAATTGGTCTGTTTTCCTGACTTAGGACAGCGCCTATAGCGTGGTTTGAAGCATCTGTTGTTAATTCAAAACATTTAGTAAAGTCTGGGTAAGTTAATATTACATCTCTTGAGGATAAGATCTTTTTTAATTTGTCAAATGCTGTTTTTGCGGATTCATTTAATTCTATTTTTTTCCTACTTGATTGATTTCGGGATATTCGTCCCTCTTCCCCTCTTAAGAGGTTTGTCAAGGGTTTTGCTATTCTAGCGTAATCCTTTACAAACCGACGATAATATCCGGATAATCCCAAAAAAGATCGAAGATCTTTTAATGTGTTGGGATAGGGGAAATTCACAATTGCTTCTACTTTCTTAGGGTTAGTTTGAATACCCTTGTGAGTCACTAGGAAACCTAGAAATTCTACTTCGTCCTTAAAAAACTCACATTTATCGAGTTGAACTTTCATATTTGCATGGTGTAAAGTGCTAAATACTTCCGCAATATCTTTTAAATGTTGATATTCGTTTGGACTAAAGATTATTATGTCATCTATGTAGACATAACATTGAAAAATAGTTTGCGCGTTCTTTAGCCCAAATGGCAATCGTGTAAATTCAAATTTACCATTATTAATGGAGAATGCTGTTTTCTCAATATCTGTGGGTTTTAAAGGTATTTGATGAAACCCGCTTTTCAAGTCTAATACAGTAAAATAACGACTTTTTCCTAATTGTGCAAGTACTTCATTAATTTCAGGCAATGGATATTTATCTGAAATAGTGATAGAATTTAACTTTCTGTAGTCTATAACCATCCTGAACTTTCGTTCCCCGCTTGCGTCAAGTTTTTTTGGAACAATCCATACGGGTGAATTGTATGGGGATTTTGATGGTCTGATTTTGCCGTCTTTAAGTAATGTTCTAACTTAGTCTTCAATTTCCTTCTTAAGGCTCATGGGGTACGGATATGTCTTTGAGTAAACTGGGTCATTTGTCCTTGTACGTATTTCGCCTGTTATACGTGTAGTATAAGTCAGTTTTTCATCAGGAGCTGAAAAAAGGTTGTGGTATTTCGACACAATTTGCCTTAATTTGTCCTGTTGTTCATTAGTCATGTGGCTAGTTCTGAGAGCAGTCATGTGAATATCGTCTGCTGGGAGTTGTTTAAGTGCAATTCTTTTCCCATTTCCAAGTACCATGTAATTGTCTTTCGTATAAATGATAGCATCAAGGTCTTTTAATGTCATTTCCAATAATTCCTTGGAATGTTTTCAGTTGTGGTAATAAATAGAATTTAACCGGAACGTCCGTCTGTCCGAATAAAAAGGTATTTGTGTGAAATTTAATTTGAGTCTGTCAATATATAATATAATTGTCAATTTCACCTGTCTCCTGTATATTTGAATCGTTGTTCGATCCTAGTTTTAAATGGAAATTCCTACTTTGTTTACGAGCTTCTGGGTGTGGTGGAGGTGGTCGTTTGCCATAAAGTCCGTTGTTCGCTGGTCTGTTCATATAGTTTATGTTCCTAGTTCTCATACTATGATCAACGTCCATTGGTTCTGGTCTTGGTTGT